AGGCTAGATGATCTGTTCAGGTCCCTCCTGACCCTAGCTACTATGAAACTATGAAAGCTTGTCTAACTTTATCCCAACCATGCAGTTGGTCCAATAAAAGATACCACCCACAAAGATCCTTCCCTCTTGCAGTCACAGCTACATCACTCTAACACTACTACACCATAAAAGGTTGACTGACTTGAAAGGAAAAGTCTTCCCTGGTTCTTAAAAAACTGTATGGCTACAACACACCAAATGAAAATACTTAGCTATGGCACTTCTACAATAACTGGCCCTGGACTCGTTACACTTCTGAAATCAAGCATATATTGAATGGTTAATTAAACTATGGCTTATGCTCTTGTTATTAAAATGGTGTTTTCTTTTGCCACAATTCTTGTTCATACTAAAATGTTGGTCTTTTTCCTTCAAGAAATTTAAAAAATGTTGTTTCAGTGAAAATTTTCATCCTGCTGTTAAGTGTTTGAGTACAGTTTAGGGAATAGTCTAGTAACAGTTATGCTTGAAATCTTCACATTTTTGTGATTTTGAAAATAGTTACACTATTTTGAACAAACAAAAATGGCTACAGCACATGTCAAAGAAGAGCACATTCCAGTGTACTGCTGAACATAACAATCCCTTCAATAATTCAGAGTGCAACAGCTGCACAATTAGTCTACATCTCTTACTTCCTGTCAAGGAATCAGTTATGGACCACGGGGTATGCTTCTTGACATGGCCACAGATTGTCATTAAAATGTATTTTGGTCATTTGCTCTATACAAATTTGACACCCTATAGTTAAGAGAAAGCCTTTATTTGTTGAAAGACATTAGTCAGCCCCTTGAAAGATGGGTGCAATAGAATCACAAAAAAGTAAAAGTTCTGGTCATACACAGTGGTATGCAGTGAACATCTCTATTAAAGAACAGAATCATAGAAAATTAGGGTTGGAAGGGACCTCAGGAGATCACATCTAGTCCAAGTCCCTGCTCAAAGCAGGACTAGCCCCAACTAGATCATCCCAGCCAACGCTTTGTCTACCCAGGTCTTAAAAACCTCTTAAGGATGGAGTCCACAGCCTCCCTGGGTAGCTTGTTCCAAGTGTTTTACTACCCTCCTAGTGAGAAAGTGTCTCGTAATATCTAACTTTAGCTTCCCTTGCTGCAACTTGAGGCCATGCTCTTGATTGGCTCTGTGAGCAGCCAATCAAGAGCATGGCCCCTAGTTGGCCTCGGCAACACTTGCATCAAGTTGTCCCCACCACTCTCCAAAAATTTCCTGGGTTGCCTATGCACTGCTGTATTGCCCTCCCAGCAGGATGTCAGGGTGATTGAAGTCCCCCATGAGAACCAGGGCCTGATTGGGAAACTTTTGCTAGCTGTTTGAAGAAAGCTTCATTCACCTTGTCCTTCTGGTCTGGTAGTCTATAACAGACATCAACCGCATCACCCTTGTTGCTCTCCCATCTGACCCTAACTTACTTGCAACAGGCCTGCCTCCAGTTTCATACTGGAGCTCTCAGCAATAATAGTTCTTTACCATAAAAGAGGAATTGCTTCTCCTCTTCCTCCCTGCCTGTCCTTTCTGAAGTTTTTACCCATCCATGACAGTGCTCCAGCCATGGGAGTTATCCCACCAGGCCTGTTGTTTCAATCACGTCATAGTTCCATGACTGCATGAGGACTTCCAGATCACTGTTTGTTTCCCAGGTTTCACTGAGTGCCCGAGCGTCCCTTTCCCACACCCCATCGTTTATGCCTCTCTCCGGCTTGTGCTACTTCCAAGGTCACGCACTCAGGGCTTTGATCTCTATCCCCAGCAAACCTAGAATAGAGTTCCTAGAGAATAGCCCTTCTCACGTGGTTGCCAAAAGCCCACCGCTGCAATGTAAGCTACATATTAATGACAGGTTGCAACTAGGAGTGTTCTTTTTTATGTTGCTGTACAACCGGTGTTAAGAGGTCATTTTCCACCTAGAAACATAACCTTTTGGAAGAAGATGGAATGAAGCTCAACAAAGATGATGGTTTGGGTATTTTACAGGACTCTATCACCAATTTTGCTCCAACAAGATTCCTGCATTCTTAAAACCAAGTATTCTTGAATCATAGAGTACCCAATAAACAGAAGCTTATTTATATTTCAAACTGCTGACAGTAACTTTGAATGTAAAAGGTGAGCACACGAGTGGACATGCACAGAGAGACCAAACATAACTGCAGCTAGATTTAAGTATAAGTGTATCATGGAAACAGCTTAATGTAGCTAACGTGCATCCAAAAGCACTTCAGCATTCTTCGTGTTTAGTTAACACCTCATCTATTCCAACAATTAAAAACACATTTTCACAGAAGCAAGAGGGAAAAAAAGGGAACACAAATAGCCAATGTAAAGCTTGACCTTTTGTTTTCTATTTTTATTGTTTAATTAATTTTAAGCAGTCTGTGACAGAGTAAAAAAATATTTTTGAAGTCTTGACAGTTTAATTACAATATTAATTTCCAATTCCTCAAAGCCATCTTAGAATAAAGTCCCGTCCCCCCCATACTCCTTCCAAGCAAGAATATTAAGCTTGATAGAGGATTTTTTTTTATGGTTTGCATAAGTAGTCTGAAAACTATCAGACTAACAAGATGACCTCTCTTGTAAGGCTGTATAGGAAACTTTCACCTTTTTTGATATCAAGAAGTCCTACCTGTAAGTGACCATTCAATTCAAGCTAGAATAGTCAAATAGTTAACACTGAAATTACTGCTGTCAACATTAAATTTCAGAGTGTTAAGTTTTGTTTTGCCGGCACGTAAAGACATATTGCCCAGTTATTACCTGCCTACAGATCCAAGAAAACAATGCTATTTGTTTACACTCGCTACAAAGATCAGTGTGCATTTTTAAATTTCTTTGGAAAAAACAAAAAGAAAGCATTTAAGATGCTATGGGATGGACCGGGAAATATGAGTCTTCACACAGTTCTAAACAGCCATACTACAACTCTTTAAAAAAAAGTATTACAATAAACTATTTAAAGTGGGGAAGTACAGGATTAATCAAAGTAGCACTGCAGCTATAGTTACTATTTTCAAATGTAAGCAGTGCTTTCTCATTTCATGACTTATAACCAAAGCAACACTTACATTTTCCATTGTGTACCTGTATTTTAATTATTCAAGTCAGCATACGTGTTTAGACTGTTGCTTTAATGACCTGTATTTAGATCAGGACCAAGAGGCTGTGCTTTCTATGATCAGTTTTCAAGTGCCAGATGTATAGTTGAAAGACCAGAACTTCAACTGATTCTTTAGCCAAACTGCTCTATACATTTCTTTGAGCTGGATCAGAGTTAATTCAGAGGAAGATCTGTCATTTCAATGAGATCTTTAAATTTAAAAAGTTTAGGCAATTATTTTAGTTACATCAGTGTAAGACTTCACTAAAGTCAGAGTGATTTGTGCACCTTTAATGTGTAGACATTACAAGCATATTTCCAGTTGCTTTAATTTCAAAGTCTGAGAAAAATCAGTTCCATCATTCTGGTATAAGTATGGAAACAAACCCTTGGAATCAGGAAAAAAAAAGCTTTTCAGAGTTGGTCAATTAGATTCAATATATATTGGCTAAAATATGAAGCCTGATAAGGACCTATGGGTGCATCTTTCAGCCATCTAGTAACACATCTTTTCATGTGGCAAAAATGAGGATTGAAGAGACATGTATATGATCACTGTTAGACAGTAAGGAACATTAAACTAGGCATCTGCCATTATCATGGGGTACTGCATATAATCAAATTGGAGTAAGTTGTCAGTCAGCCTACAATATTTTCTTAATGATGCTACAAGCAATTAATTATTTCATCCCAAATGCTTTTTTATCCCTTACGAAAAAAGTTATATTGAATACAGCATACTCCTGACTTGCCCAATTGAAAAGTGCATATGGTACAAGATAAAATATTTTACTACTGACCAGGAAACAGTTATACATGATAAAAAAGGGGATTCTATATCACTGTTCAAAACTTGCAGTTCAATGCATTAGGAGCTAAAGGTGCTCACCAATTTTAATTCTGCCTGTTGGAAATCTTAAATAGATAACTATACTATTTTCTGTTGACTGCTTCATTTGCTACAAAAATATGTGAACAAGATGGGAGAAGTGGTTTGACAATGAAGCTGTCTCAAAGCCTTCATAAATGAATGAAAAAGGACATCCTGCAGATCAAAATTTGTATTATATATATATGTATCTATACACACACACATACATACACATATATATTTTTTATAAAAGCCTATGTCCGTTTGTCACACTTTATTCTCACTCTAATTGGCTGACGGAAACAGTCAGTGCGCTCCAAGTGTAGGGGAGCGCTGCCATGATCCCAAAGCCGTGCCAAGGGTCAGACAGAGGGTGGGGGGCCAGCAGCGTTGGCCTTGGCTCCCCCATCCCTCTCCCTGCAAGAGGCAGAAGAGTGGCGGCATGGGGCGTTAAGTGGCAGCACTCTATCCCAGCCCCCTTCCCACCCATTCTTGACGGGCAATTGGCTGATTGAGATATATATATATTTGAAGAGTTTCAGAATTAATATGCAGAAGGAGGCAGGAGTAAGAGTTCTGAATACAACTTCAAACTCAGCAACTAAATATTTCAACATTGCATTTCACATGAAATAAAAAATTTACTTTAAGTTGCATGCGTCTTATACAAATGCATAGCTTACAAAAATCAGATCTTGTGTACTTGCTATCAATTTACTGTAAAGGAAGAATTATTTAATGAATGACAAAACAGGATAAGCAATTTATCATAGTTTGCTTTTATTGAAACATTTTCTGCAAATGTGGATTACAACCTTGCTTAAGGTTGCCCCACCAATGTCAGCCATGATAAATCAATGATTTCTGAAATCCAAATCCTAGTGGCAAGGGGTTAGGTAATGGTCGATTGCTGCAGCTAGAGCGTGTCAGATTACAACAGTGTAACAGCATCATTCGAAAAAGCAATATGGTTCAAGAGGCTCTTTGGTGCCAAAAAATTAAACTGTCAGTGATGCACTTATGAATTCTATTGCTTTCTTCTCAATCAAAGCATTAATTCTTCTTCACAGTGCTACAGAATTACAAGCCTCAAGACACGGGAAACTCTTGTAGCTTGAATAGTCTGCAAAGAAATATCACTGTTAAAGAAAAGATGTATAAAAACAGTTGGAAGCAACCTAACTTAACGGAGAGATAAGGATATCATGCGTCTCATCCTCCTACAACACAGGTCAGCTAGAGCCCATTTTCACAGTGGACATATTGCTCTTCTCATTTCAACCAGACAGTTCTGCATATTTAAATCTTGAAGAATCACTGGCTTAGCTTTATGCCCACTTTTCATTGAGTATTTGTGGCAATACACCCACAGCATCTAAATATTCAGTAAACTCATGAAAGAGCTGTGCTCAAAAGTCACAGCATACAGCCAGAACACATCAATAGTTTTACTACTTAAGTTATTTCCACACCTAGAAATAAGTAGAAACCCCACACTTCACATGATAGTGAAAGATATAAACCCTAAAATAATTTGCAAATTCATGTCTCTGATGACCCATGAAAGGTTAAGTTTCCTTTTACCAGGTAAGCATTATAAAAATTCAGACTTGTTTGTGAAAATTTCCAAACTACAATGTATAGCCGATCCTCGCTTAAAAGATATACATATATACACAAAATTTATAGAAATGCAAGATTCTTATAGACGAGATTTCTAGCTTCAGCAGAACAATAGTAAGTACACTGTAAAGAAGAAGCAAAGAGAAATAAAGGGCCAAGTTCTGCCAACACAAGCACTTGTGGTTTCACACTGACTTCAGTCATTATTGCATGCCTAAGGTGCCCATCACAGTTGCATGTATGTTCCTGCAGGTATAATTTAGCCCACTGATAAGATGTTCTTTCAAAACTTCTCCCCTTCAACCTGACCTAAGAAGTAAGGTGCTATAAGCAGAGGGAAAAAAAAGCCCAAAGGAATCACCTGATTTTCTAAAGCATTTAGATGTGTAATCAGTTATAAAACTTGGCTAGATTTGTAGTGTTAAACTGCAACCTTCCATTTCAAAGTCCTATTATACCTTGAAAAACACACAGAATGTACTAAAATGCAGAAATTCTCAAACACTTTCAAAACTGTAATCCAAAATTGTGAGCAACATTCCATTTTTTATGCAAGTTTACTTCACTGGACTATTGTAGCATGTCCTACACTTTTATATCACAGTGCCTGTCTCAGAGTATTCAGGTATACTGCTGAAACATGTGCACCCCCTAGCTGTCACAGGTAAGAGACAGTACTTGTTTCTAACTTACATTCATTTTCAACTTCAAATTTATTGAGGCAGTTTATATCAATGTATCCATAAAATAATTCAGAAATAACCCAAGTATACCATTTAAACATCTTCATGATTTATCCATTTACACACTCAGTACACAAACAACCCAGCCTCTGTACAGGTTCGTCACATGCAAACCACCCATGAAGACAAAAACTTTAATTAAAAATAAGTCACAACTCAGTGTACTGTTTCAACTGCATCTCCATTTACCAAATGGCACATTGAATATCTTCTAAAATAAGATGTTTTAACAATCTTGTTAAAAAATTCTTGGGCAAAATATTTCTAGACTTAAAAAACATCAAGATTTTTCAAAACACTCAAGATACTATACAACTTATATTAACCTTGAAATCGGTTTACAAGGTTGTTAACCAAGGTATTTACATACCAAATAATGAAAAGCAAAAAATTCAGATTTCTAGTGACAAAAGGTGATGCATTAAGGATTTATGAAATTAAAATTAAGGCTCTTTGTATAGTAATTTATGTAACTTTACATAATAGCCAACTTTGGAAATGTCAGTCTTGCACATTCTTGTCAATCTACTGCATAAAGCAGTAGAGTATATTAAGTATTACTCTGAATAATTACATTGCTACTTCTATGTTTAAGCATGCTTTTGAAACATTGTAATTATGAAATATTTACAATGTGTAGCCTTCAAACTTTATGTAAAAGCTCAAGTATGTCTGCCTGACTTAATACAAACATCATACTTGCAAAAACATTTTGCTTCTCAAAATTAAATGCAAAATGACTTAGTTTTAATAAGTAAACCAGATTCGAAATGTTTTAGTATGTGCCTGAATGTGGACAGCAAAAGTTCACTCATAATTCAGACAGTACTGTTTTTCACCCCTTACTGAACTAAATTTCTGTTTCTCTAAAGTATATAGAAAATTAAATATTTTTAAAAAATAACTTCATGGCTACATATGATTTCTGAGTGATGTCTTCATATTAGTTGAAAAAGCAATACTGTCTTACCGGGTGTGATGGTTGGTCCACAGTTAATTTCAGGATGTATGTTCAACTAAAAACCACTTACTGTATTTCAAATGTCATTTCTCTTAAAAAGCACAGTGATGTAAAACACTGAAGACAGAACAAAAAAATGGAATGGTAATCTAAAGATCAAATGCATTAGCCATTTGTTCTACTATATCAAAATTTGTAGTCAGAATTGTCTTTATTGACTTTATTTTAGTTTTTGTACACAAAGAAAAAACATGTTCATATCCATCATGAACAAAAACTTAAAAAGGCAGAACTAGAAGACATTTGTGTCCTTCACCAAAGCAAAGCTGTGCTAAAGGTTCCAAACATTTCCATTTTTTAAAATAAATATTTTCTTTTTCCGGTGTCTACATTCCAGTCCTCAGAGTGTCACTGGAAACTGAAGCCTATCATGAAATACACACTTTTAAACAGAGTTCCAGCTCACTGTGTTTGGTAGCTTGCCATACCATATCCAGCTTGGTTAGGTATTACAGGAGCACCTTGTCCCTGGGCAGGCTGAGCACCAAATCCACCCATCCAGGCAGCAGATGTAGATTGGCTTGAGAAAAGACAAAATGAAAAGTCAACTTTATAAATAAAAAGATACAAAATCTGATATTGCTTCTGTTACATTTTAACTCCTGCTGAGTACAAGAAAAATCCCTAATGTCTTCATATAAGAGAGCATACAGAGGGTAGCAAGTTTTGAAGTCCTAAACTGTGCCTGGCTCTTACTCCCAAGTTGTTGGCTTTTGTTTATGGAACAGCATTCATTTGTCCTCCTAGAAACTAGGAGTGTTGGTGTTCACGCAGTTTCTTTTGAAGGAACTTGAGGAAGATCTTTCCTGTGCATGTAAATACGTTAGGAATCAGTGCCTGTAACATTTCTCCTGCACTGCTCCTCCTGGGAGAAAACGCTTCTCCTGCCGTCCCCCGACAAAGATGACCCCGGTGTGGGGAGGGAAGAATGGAGGATTAGAGAAGATGCTCTACTCATCCTGGTTGCTGGGAGGAAAGGGACAACAGGTAATGGTTTCCCCTCACATTCCCCAGACCAGGCTAAACCCAGTGTGGTAGCAGTGGTGAGGGGGACAGCTGCTGCTTCACCCTTCTCGGGGATGAGGGTCACCCTTGTCTGGGAATGTGCAGGGAGCAGGGGCAGCAGCAGCTGCAGGCTGGAACACCGGCACACTGCCCCTCTCACTAAGACTTCCAGTGCTGCAAATTACTGGGAAATTTGCACTGCCAGGAAAGAACGCCTGCACAGGCCACTATTCTCCACAGGTAGAAAAAGGCATGATTTGAATACATGAATACAGTTAGTGCTTAGTCCGTCTTAATTATACCCATTACTAGAGCTGTGAGAAGCTTCAGTCGCCGATTCGATTCAGAGGAGATTCGGACCAATTCAGCGGCCAAATCTAATCAAGAGACCCATTAAAAGGTCCGAGTTGAATCAAACGCTTCTGAATTGATTCAAAAGAAATTTGGATCGGCTGGGGAGAGGCAGGCACAGCTGAGAAGCCACAGGTTCTCCCACGG